CGACGTCGGATCCAATAAGTATGGAGTGTTCATGAGGGTCAGCGAGGTGAAGCCCACGTACCGCAACTCAATCACAGTGCCCTATAAAGTGTGGTCCAAATTTGGGAATACGTTCTGTAAATACGCTGATGAGATGAAGAAGATTCAGGAGAAACAGCGGGAGAAAAGGGCATGTGAGCTACAGCAACAAGAGGAGATGCAGGCCGATGATGGAGATGATGATTGATATAAGTAAAACATTCAAGAGTAAACAAAATAACCAGAGAAATATAATTAAAACTATTGTATAACGAAAGAAATCTAAAGATTTAACTTTAATGGTTTAACTCCAAGGGAGCATCACCCAAAATATCAGAAACCTCCACGACCTGACAGTTATGACATGTTGTCACTCATCGCTGGATGTTACTCCACTTATCCACCATTAATACAGTAACAGGCTGCTAAACAAAGTAATAACGTTATATTTGAACATTGTTTCCTACTTGACAAACAATATTGAACTGAGTGTTAATTTCCCTTAACAGAAAACTTTTGTACCAGTTGAGGCTATTGTAAAAAGTGTTTGCAATGTTCAAATGGAATTACTGAGTTCTGAGGAAAATGTTTCCTTTCCATGTGAGCTAAAGACTTCAGCACAAATCAGATAAATATATTAATTTTTAAACCAAAATTCTCAAATCTTTGTAAAGGGTTGTCACGTGTATTTGCCATTTTACCTTTACCTGTGAGTAGAGATGTGTTTACACATTAATCAAAAGAGGGCTAGGCCTGCTTTGGAAACTGGTTAGATGTCATGCAGTAACAGAACATATAGGCATTTTCATCAAATGAATAAGTGCTCTATCTGTTGTGCAATATGCATTGCATACAAAATCAAGTATATTGAACTGTTGAATGGGTCTCGACATGACATTTTCCAGAGGCATTCAAAGATATATTAATATTGTAATTTTTGTTTCAGTTGAAATTGTTGCCATGCAGATGGATATATTATAGACTACCTTTGTGTCTCGTGATGCAATGTGTTCATTATACAGGTACTTAATGTGTGTTACGATAGAAGAAATGCAGTGAGAACATGTAGCAAATGGCCTGAATAGGAGACAACTTCAAAGAATCGCCCTACACTTGCTATGTAACGGGCTTCACCGGCAGATTTAAGCAGATCATTATGAAAAAGTATCTGAATCAGAGTGCTTTTGTAAACATGTTAAATCATATATCAAGTCTAAATGGTGCCAAGGAGTGCTATTGCTGCATGTTAATCTGCACTAAGTTATAGATTTCGTTGGTCTCCCAAAATATTGGCTCAAGGACCCTTCCATATGTATCTTTATCAGCAGATATTGTATGAATCTCAAGTTTGAGTACTGAGTCATCACCATCCAAAGGCTTGGTGTTGTAATAGTGGAAGTTGTTTCAAAGTGTGCTGGTATAAAAGTGGTTTTCAAAATCAATTCAAATTGTACTTTCACACTGTGGGAAGGGCCGTCTAATAGTTGGAAATTACAGTGCAAGTTGTCTGTTTAAAGTTTAAACTTGTGCATTTATTAGCAGCTGTGCCCGTCCATTTAACATCTGCAAGTGTGAAGTTCACTGGAGCTACTTTGATGCACATTCATAGCACTTAGAATTATGAGCCCAAATATCTTGCAGGCAATGAGATTCAGTTTAGGTCGAATTGTAAATATTTGGGCTGCCACACGGAAAGCAACTGGTTGTATTCCAGTTCAGTCGCATCTCATAGATGTGTGATAGCAGTTTTATAAACTCTGTCAGTAAATTCCAGAGATACTGGCCACAATCAGAATATGTCAGATGTACCTCAGCATTGAACTCAATGACTGCTCCCATGTTTAGATTGACTGGAAACCAGCAAACTAGACTGTCCTTGGCCACCTATTTTTGGAGCCACTGGTATAGATAAGCGATACCTGGTCGGGAGCATCCTCTTCAGCATATAAACAACGTGGTGCCTTACACACTCCGCATGCTTACACGCTGGCCTGGTGCTTTGGATTGCAGATTTGCTTTTTATGATTGATTTCTCTTTTTCATGTCTGTGTCTCAGCCCCTTGTGTGCTAGTGCACGACTCGTGGTGCTAAAGAGTTTGTTTCAAACTCTAAGAAACAACAGGAGTAGAATTATTTTCTGCTTCTTCCTTTCTTCCTTCTTCCCTATTCTTGTTGCCATTCCCACTCCTCAGCCATCCAGGTATCGGCCTACATGTAAACATGGAAGGGGGTGGTCACCTAATGCAAGATGATGCCGAAGAGTTGGCTCTTCGCTGGCCAAGCACATTCGGAGGGCCGGGGCTGACTGGGAACAGTGTGACATGCTACATGTTTAAGCCCCTTAACATGCCTGTTCTTTGACTTGGCTAGTTCTATGTAAGTTGTGAGTCGCTCAATTAATGGGGTGTAGCAAGCATGTCATGTTTTGTTTATGTAGTTTTACCTTTTCAGCATTATTCCACTTTATTTGTAATTTTGGAATGTTTTTGCCCACTAAAGATATATCTATTTTTTCTGTGCAACATTTCATCACTGTGTGCAATATCGTATGTGCCAATGGTGGCAATATATGTATATCAATTAAATATATGATTACTATTTGAAAGCATGTGGCTGAATTCCATGTTTATTTCTTATGAAGGACTTGTATGCCTTTTTGCACTTAAAGCTCTGTGTAGGAGGAAATTGTTGGTGAAACCAAGGTCTTAGCAGCCAATTGAGTCAAGCAGTTCACAAAAAGTACTTTAACTTGAAATGGAACAATGTCACTGCAAGTATCCTTTTTTTCAAAGGAGTGAACTTTGTTTTGCTTTGTGCTGTGGAAAGTAGTTATAAATGGAGCTTTCTACACAGAAAACTCCCTAAAATCTATAGATCTCCATTTTAGCTTTATGCTAAGAAAAGGTGCTTCTGTCCTATCCCCATTAAGGTGTGGTGAACTGTCTTCAGTGGTTGTTGTGTGTAGCACTTTTTCCCCAGGTTAATAAATTGCCTGACCAATACTTGTTCAACATGATCTAAACAAAGAATGTCATTCTCTCTTATGTTGCCTCTTTTCCAAGAGGGTCTTTGATTTCCTCATTTGGTTTTGAATGCATTAAATATAATTTATGTACATCTACAAATTTTAAAATAAATTTAATTCACCCATGGGGTAAAATATTACTAATGTATGTGTTTTTCATTGTTTAAAACTGTAAAAAAAAAAAAGTGATGTTGTTCATTCTGGATGATAGTGGTCTTGTAGTCTTTTTGTTGTAAAGTTAAATGTGTGACATGTCTTCCCATAGGCCCATTTTCACAGGGGTTAATTGCCAACCATTACATTTTGTAAAATAATCCCAAATAAAATCTCAGAGAAGCGAAGTCACAGTAGACAACAGACAGCACAGGCAGAACTGTGTAAATGTATAGGTTAGTCTTATAAAAACTCCATGAGGTGTGTTTGCTGTTTAACACATTGACAGTATATCATATTGCATGTCCTGCAAAATCATGTTACCCAAATACCAGTCCCAGTCGTCTAGCAGAAGCTGCAACAATGACCTCGTTGATGTTGATTTATTTGGATAATCGTTTATATCATATCACCAGCATGTTTGGGCAGTTAATTAAATTGATTTTTTGAGTAAAACATTAGTATCTAGTTTTAATTGTTGTGTTTCACTGTTACTGTAAACAACATATTATAGTTTGACGTGTGTTGTTTTATTGAGCTTGGATTAGTTGTTTTCAAGGTGAAGGTTTTTGTCAATGATCTGTTCCTTTTCCTTGAGGGCTGTATGTGCGCGCGCGCGAGTGTGTAAAAGAGAGAGAGTTGAAGGAATGCTGTGATGTCATCAGCCCAGTCAAACACAAAGACACAGAGCACCCACAGGCGCTTGATCCACTGCTTAGTGCTTAGTTAGCATACTCTGGAGCGACTGTCCACGTGACTGTGAGTCTCAAACTTGTCTATCCTATCTGACGTCTGCAATGATCTCGTTGATGTTGATTTATTTGGATAATCGTGTCTCATGTAGTCATATTGTCCACCCTTTTACTTTTGGCTATGGCTGCATCAATTGTTGGACAATCAGGGAAGCGCTGGAGCATGGATTTAAAAATGACGTAATGGCATATTTGGCTCATTTGGTCTCCCTAACACTAGAGGTCGCTCTTTACTCACAAATATACAGTATACCCACAAAGCTGACAAGGGACGTCCACGAGCACATGGGCAAGATTAAGCTGAGTTGGGCACGTTAATAAGCTAATTGATGTTGATTTTTTAATTTTTTGAGTAAAACATTAGTATCTAGTTTTAATTGTTGTGTTTCACTGTTACTGTAAACAACATATTATAGTTTGACGTGTGTTGTTTTATGGAGCTTGGATTAGTTGTTTTCAAGGTGAAGGTTTTTGTCAATGATCTGTTCCTTTTCCTTGAGGGCTGTATGTGCGCGCGCGCGAGTGTGTAAAAGAGAGAGAGTTGAAGGAATGCTGTGATGTCATCAGCCCAGTCAAACACAAAGACACAGAGCACCCACAGGCGCTTGATCCACTGCTTAGTGCTTAGTTAGCATACTCTGGAGCGACTGTCCACGTCCTACTGTGAGTACTCAAACTTGTCTATCCCTATCTGACGTCTGCCTTTTGTTTTTTGTGATATATAGATGGAGTGATGGCTTGTACTTCTGCTCAGGTCAACCTCCAGCGCAGTAGAAAGTGTTAAGTCGAGACATCTATATTCTTCTAGTGATACTCTCAGCTTTCTTCCCTCCAAGTGGTAGCCATTGTTTAACTCCCTGCTGTGACTGGAGGAGTCAATTTCAATTCTAGTGGCATGAATTTGGCTTACACTGATCCAGCCTTAAACTGTTTTTTGTTTCAACTACACATAAGTGAAAAATACTAAAGCCGAGCGGGGAGAAAGGAGCAGGGTTTGGGGGTAAGATGTCTGTTAGGGAGGGGACAGGAGGAGGGAGCTGCTGATGACAGAAACAGCCCCATTCCTTTAGAATCTCCTCCCATTCAAGGCTCTGACACTTTGGGCTTTGGGTTCTTGTTCTTCCGTATTCATGAAGGAACGGACAGTGGGGAAACCGTATGAACAATTTCTTCTGGTAGAAAAGTTAATAGATGTAAGAAACCTGTGTATTATTTGGTATGTATTTAATTGGTTCTATTGCTGCTATTCTTAATGATTTTCCTTTTTATTCTTGTAGGTTGTTCCAGTGATGGCAACTAAAGTGTAGCTGTTTATACAAAAGGAAGAACTGTCAGTGCAGAGGAAGCCTCTGCAGTTGGCTGATAATGTGATTGTACAATATGTCTCAAACTAGTACATGCTGGAGAACCACCATACGCTTTGATTACTGAATGTGGGTTGAAGAAAGTTCTATCAGAACAGAGAAGCTTTGGGGACGTATTGAAGACATGCGGCTGTAAGACAGCATTGTCAAATTTAAGAAGCTGCTAGCCTGGGGCTAGCACCTCCTGCTACTGCCCAGTGTGAGCCCTCTCCAGCTGCCAACATGTTGCAGCAGATCCTAAAGGACATGTACATTGACCCTGATGTACTCGAGGCACTCAATGAAGATCAGAAGAAAACTTTGTTCCTTAAAATGCGTCAGGAGCAGGTGCGCCGATGGCAAGAGCGAGAGGACAAACTGGAGAGAGACGGAGGAGATGCCAAACGAACCAAGCCAAAAAAAGGTAACCGTCCCCAGCACACTGCAAATAGTAACCTCGCATGTCACAGAAAACATATGGCTGTCACATACAACTTCCAGACTGCTCTTTGTGAGAGGTACTGTAGATGCATTTAATGTCAAAACTTCATTGTTGTTGACAAACATCTTACTGCTGGATGTTCCCTGCTCATCCACTGTTAGGCAAACAGCTGGTGGACCTCACAAATACAGTGTTTACCTGAAGTCCATTCTACAAATTACAAACTCCATCTGTTCAGTGAAAACAAGGCTATAAATAAGACTGATATGTGGAAAAAATGGACAGAGAACGTGATCCAGATGCAAAGAGCTTTTCCTTTTAGTGGTGTAAATGTTTACACAATTACAGCAAAGGAATTCATATTAAGTTCAGACAAAGTTTAAACACCCTGCTATTGTGTTGTTGAAGAAGAGACTATATTGCGAAGGAGAACTACCACCTAGAGTGAATATCTAGTTACTTTGATAGCAAAGGAGAAGTAATTACTGCATCAAAAATGAAAAGATATTCCTCATATTTGAAATATGTTTTTTTAATATATAAATACCCAAAACATGAGGCAGGTAGAGTGAGAGAGAGAGGAACCACTGAAACTATGATGTCACAAGCAATCCTTTATCTTCAACAGATATCTTCTTATTGCCTGTACTAATCAAAAAGGAATGATAAAAGATTAAATAAATGTACTTCTATATGTTTATGATAAAACAAAAACAAAGTATTATTTTCATACATGAATTGCTCAGGTTGTTTTAGACTATGGGGCAAAATATTTACTTTGGGGTTCAGGTGTGATTAGTCACCTCTTTTTACGGGTAACACCGGAGGTATGTTATAAATAGTAAATTGATTTAGCTGGAAGCAGCAGCAGCAGCTGAACTTAACAGGCAGCAATCACACTAAACAAAGCAGAAACTCGGAAGGCTGCATGTCACTTGCGAAACTGGTTCAACCCAAAGTAGAGGAAATCTTGCTCGTCTGCATTTTGCTTGTGGTGGCAGCAGCAGTGGGACATGATTGGCTTTAGGATGGTGACTCGGGCTATTTATACTGTGACAGAAAAGCAAACACTGCATGACGTGTAAAGGATGTATTAATGCTTTCTTAATGCAATAGCAGACTACACATTGTGTGAACCTCCATAGCTGACAAAGAACCCTGTTTCAACTGCAGTCAAAGAACAACTCTTGAGTTGTGTTTTAATGACTGTGACAGCTGCTGTAGACCACAGACTCTCGTCACATGGACACCATCCTCTTCCTGTTATAGGCCCCATGCCCTGCGTGGGAGGAAATGGTGGTTAGTTTGTAGGGCAGGGTGATATGACAAAAAATTAAAAAGCATCTTTTTTTTTTTCATCATGTAGAACAAGCACAACTTCTGTTTTGTTTTTATCTTAACAAAACAAATAAAAATTGCTTGCAAAATTTAACAAAAAGAATATGGCCTTTTAAAATTATAACTCAAAGAATAGTCAAATTTGTACTCTGCTTCATACCACATGCTTTTATGGACTGGAGATTGACTTTGGACCTCTCTGTTTGGGTTAGAAAATTGTAAGTGGCAAATATTGGTTAATTACTGTTAGAGTGTTAAATGGGAAGTAAGCCCCAGACCCTCAAACAAAGAAAGTGGTCTGGGCAGGAAGTGCTCAGGAAGAGTATGTGTGTGGAAAACAAAAGGGTAGTGATTTCATCTGCAAACAATTTCAAGAAAACTGATAAACTATGAGAGAGTCATGAGCCTAAGCACCATTTTTTTTATCCAGTATGTTCATTCATTAAACAACAAGTTGCTTTAAATTCTGTAATTTATTGGTCATGTTACTTCTACAGTAACAGTAAGAATGTGTAGCTCTGGCTTGGGGCGAGATGGGGAATGTTGCTGTTTGATGGTGAAGTCAAGTGGACGAGCAACCTCCAGGTTCATCTGTCAGGATCAAAAAAGAAGTCACCAAGCCTTCCAGAGAACAACAACAGTACGTGACACCTGTAATGTGTATGATTAATGCTTAATGAACATGTGCAACACATATTGGTCAATACAGTTTAAATAGGATCTATCAGGATCTATCAATCAACCTGTTTTAAGCAGTTTCTGGCCAATTGGCTTATTTTGAGTTTCTTAATTGTTCTTGTAATCAACACTGCAGGCCATTGACTGTATTGGACTGAATTTGGAAAATCAAGTGTAAATGTGATGGATCTTAGGATTAACTTTGTATTAATATTAAATATTATTATTGTATTATATAATAAAAGAAATGACAAAGGGTCTTCTTTTTGTTCAGCAATTGGCAAAGCTTAATTGTTCTTGTAATTGTAAACAGAAGAACAGTTGAACCCAACAGGACAGAGAAAGATATTATATTATTAATATTAACCAATGCCTTCTTTTTTACAACAAAAGCATTTGAAGAACAAGTCAATCACTGCTTTTTTAATTCAGTGGATTGCCCATTGAGTATAGGATTCAGCCATGTTTGTTTGCCAAAAGCTTATTTCAATACTAAAATTTGTGCAGTTTGGTGTCTCACTTGAGCACACGCTTTGGTGATTTTGGTTTGACTTCTGCTGGGACTGCCCACTTTTTAAATCACTGTAAATTTAAGACTTAAATATTCCACCAAAATACACTCCACAAACATTCTTGACAAAATATTATGTCTAAATATGAATAATATTATATAATTATTTGTCACGACTGCAGTGTTCTGGTATGTCTTTACTGATTCCTGTCTGCGAATGTAGCACATCCAACTTCACACTCCCACTGCCTCGTTTACACATTTGTACCTGCCGCACAGTTGTGTAAGCTCTAACAAGGTTTTTAACACCGCCAGTGCAAATGTATTCTTCCAAATTAAAAAATAGCTTCTTATTTGAACATTCTCAGAGGACTGTTCTTAGACTTTAGTTTTACACGCATGAAGGTTGTTATTCAGGCAAAAGATAGATGCTTCGTCTTTTTCACGCTATCTTAAAAGGAGATTTGCCGCGTTGTCATGGCGACTGTGGACACAGTGGGCAGGAAAGAGTCGAGGTCTCATCTGGCGGGAGCGCACTGATTCGGCAAGCTAGTGCTGCAAAGCTGCTCACCCATTACAAATTCAAATCCCAGACCCAGATAGTGTTTTTCTGAAATACCATCCACAGTGAGGACTCTAACTAAATGGTCATCAAGGTCTCAAAAGTATTTCACTTTTATAGTTTCAAAATATTACTTTTTTTATATACATGGTGTATAATAGGCATGTGCAGTTAATTAAAATGTTTGGACAATAATTTTAATTACATTTTTTTAATCAGTTTTTAGACTATCAACTACAGTTTTTTTTTTTTAACATTAATAATGATTATTTTAAATAAGATCCTCTGTAAATGAGCAAATATTACTCAACTTAAGGCTTCAACTATTCCTATAACTTGCCAAGAAACAGTTGATTAGTAGTGAATGTGATTTCTTCAGTCAGTGAATTAGTAGTGAAACTTTACTCTGTTTCTCCCAATAGGACACAAGCACTTTACCCCCTCTGTCGGTGAGTAGTGAGACAGATTGGTACTACTGTTCCTAATGGCTCTGTGTTTAAATCAGGCTCATGTAATGTCTTTGTAAAACCCACAGGTGTCAGTGAGGGAGCACTCCTCGCCTCCTGCTGCAGAAAAGGTACTGTAAGACTATCATACTGTAATAGAAATGTACACATGCTCAAGAATGGATTAATGTATTTTTCTTCCAATTTTAATTCAGTTTTTTTCAGAGGTTAGGGAAGCAATATAAAACTGCTAGTTAACAGAATTTTGGTAATGGCCCAATAAATATTTTTAGCCCATAATGTTATCTTTAAAGAACTTACTAACTATAATGAATTTCCAGTACAATAGTTTGAGTGTTTTGCTAAGATTCGTGTGCCATTCGTGCAAGCGACCGGTTGACCAGTTTATAGTTTTTCCTAAAGTTAAAAAATAGTTAGCATTGGCTTTCTGTGCCTGTGTCCCCTCCCTGTGTGAGCAACAGGAAATGGTGTGATCGGGCCAGCTGTCCCCTCAGTTGGGCTTGTCTGCAGCAGATCGTCTTTCTCCTAGCATTCCCCCCTCTCTCTCTCTCTCTCTCTCTCTCTTCTCTCTCTCTCTCTCTCTCTCTCTCTCTCTCTCTCTCTCTCTCTCTCTCTCTCTCTCTCTCTCTCTCTCTCTCTCTCTCTCTCTCTCTCTCTCTCTCTCTCTCTCTCTCTCTCTCTCTCTCTCTCTCTCTCTCTCTTCTCTCTCTCTCTCTCTCTCTCTCTCTCTCTCTCTCTCTCTCTCTCTCTCTCTTCTCTCTCTCTCTCTCTCTCTCTCTCTCTCTCTCTCTCTTCTCTCTCTCTCTCTCTCTCTCTCTCTTCTCTCTCTCTCTCTTCTCTCACTCTCTCTCTCTCTCTCTCTCTCTCTCTCTCTCTCTCCTCTCTCTCTTTCAAAGCTTGTCTGGACCTGCCTTGTCTCTCTCCATCACTCTCCATCTCTTGCTCTCTCCCCCACTCTGATAGTCTCTCAGATTCTATCACCCCCTTTCATTTTTCTTCTTTCTTCCTCCCTCTGCACCCCTCATGTCACCCTCTCTCTCTCTCTCTCTCTCTCTTTCTCTTTCTCTTTCTCTGTGTCTGTCACTCTCTCTCCCTCTCTCTCTCTGTGTCTGTCGCGCTCTCTCTCTTTCTCTGGGTCTGTTGCTCTCTCTCTGTGTCTGTCGCTCTCTCCCTCTCACCCTGTCTGTCTGTCTAGCTCTCTCTCCTCTGTGTCTCTTTCTCGTTGTGTCCCTGTGTGTGTGTCTCTCTCTCTCTCTCTCTGTGTGTCTCTGTGTCTCTCTCTCTCTGTGTGTCTCTGTGTCTCTCTCTGTCTCTGTCTCTCTCTCTCTCTCTCTCTGTCTCTCTCCGTCTCTCTCGCTCTCTGTGCGTCTCTGTGTCTTTCTCTGTCTCTGTCTGTCTGTCTCTCTGTCTCTCTCTGTGTGTGTGTGTGTCTCTCTCTCTCTGTCTCTTAGTCTCTCTCTGGAGAAGAGCTGAGCCTCTCTGTGCTCCCTGTAGCTTTATCATTGCCTCCTGTGTGCATGTGTGTGCGCGTGTGTGCGTGTGTGTGTGCATGTGTGTGTGTGTGTGCATGTGAGCGTGTGTGTGTGCACAGGTGATACGGTATACACTTGTGAACAGCTAAATCACACACACTCACTCAAGTACGGCGAGGATTTTCTGGACTGGCCTGGAACAGATGGTTGATGAACTTGATCAGGGAATTAAAACGCCCGAGATAGAGAATGCGTCACTCACAGATGGAGGGGATTGCAGGGCAGTCTCCGGAGGTTTGGGCGCGCGAGTTTCTCCTCTGTTCCTGTTTTCACCACAGAAGGGAGCGTCTTCCTGGACATGTATTGCTTCCAGGCGTTCCATGTTACAGACCCAACACATGAGTATGAGCCAAACCATGTGGATGTGACAATAAACGTCTACACCTACGCCAACCATCGCACCTAACAGTCTCTATACATTGAGTAATTTGTTGCTGAAAGGATCTTTTATTGTAGCTGGGAACAAGAACAGGCAGGTTTGAAGAATAGATGGTGAGAAATTGTTGATTAAAAAGGTGTGGGATAAGAATGCAAGATTATCAAGGCAGCCTGATTGTCAAGTCACCTTATAATTTTGTCTCTTCTTTCCTAATCAGAGGCCATAGTGTGTTCTTTGTTGGTTGTGTCACTCAAGGGTTGTAATTTGGAAAACTTGTACACAGGGATTTAATGAAACATGGCTGTTAATTCCGCATAGTTTAGTTCTAGATTATGGTCCATGATCCGTGGTGTGTATTGGTTTCTTGTGTCTATTCTTTACTGTTGGGTATTTTTTATTCTAAATATTTTTCTTCTGTAGGTGGTTTATAGGGATTGGCAATATGAAAAAAATCACATAGTAATTTGAACTGTATATTGTGATCCAGGGCTTTTGTGTTTGTTGCACATCGATGTTGAAACACAGACACATGCCTTCCACTTTTCATATTCACTTCTCCTACTGTTCACTCTCTCTTTAATGGCTAGGAGTATAATAATATCTACATAACTTACCTCAGTTTTTCTATGGTTTTGTGTTGTCATCTCGGCTCTACTGCAATGTATCAAATTATAATTTAGCAGATCATTATTGCAGTGACGTAAAGAAACAGGTCAGTAATTTCTCAGTATGTGAATTAGCTGTCAACACTCATCCCTCCCCTCTGTCTTATTTTGTTATGGTTTGCAGTCTGAGGTGAAGCCGGTCGTCATTGAACCAGAGGAAAAGTCCATTCCACGCACCTCCAGGCCTTTAGTGAGGTCCAATGGCGTCATCGTGAGACCGGCCTCCTCTGCTGTTACACCAAGCTCCCTCTTGAGTCGTTCCAAGCCCCTCTCTCCCACCAGCACCACCACCCCCGAACCAGCAAAAACATCCAATTCACCGCTTGCACAAGAAAACCACAAAACTCAGGAGATTTGCAAAGGTGAGAGTGACACAAAGCCTTGGTGATATGATGCATGAATAAATTTTTTTTTTTAAATCCTCAAATTGCTCAATCCTAAACTTGGATTATATTTTGTCTTTCTTAAAAATGAATTAAATTATTTTCTCATTACCTGAATATAAACAACAGACAAAAACAGTACAGTTCCTTCCTCCAAAGTCTGAACTCTGCTTCAAACAACATGCTTTTACTGGCTGAAGATTATCTGTAGACCTCTTGATTACGAAGGCCATAGCTGATTATTGATGCTTCCAGTAACAATCATTTTGATCTCTATTCAAATTGTTAGAGTCTAGAGCTGTGCAATTGGTACATCAGTGTGTATTTCCTTCTGAACAGAGAAATATCCTTTGCGTCAAGTAAATGAAACCAAGAAAGGATCTGGCTTGTTTTTAAAGTCCATAATATGTCTCTTTTTATGTCAGATTTTTATGTCTGAGACTTATTTTTGTTTTAATAGGAAAAAATACTTGTAATACAACAGTAAATCTTATAGTTTTCCGATAATGAATTGAACTGAATTCAGTAATTATAAAAAAAATATATATTAAAACAATGAATAAAAAGTATAGAAACAGATGACAGTATGTAAGATCAGTAAGATCAAGATGACAAATTAGGTTGTAGTTTAGATAAAATAAAATACCGTTATTTTACGTTACCATCTTATTGATCTACATTTCTTATACTGCTATTTTCTACATAACCCCAAGTTTTAAATGTATTTTAGTTACTGAATAATTTTCTAAAGTGTTTTCCTTGCTGTCAAGAATTTGCAAAGGCATGACGAGAGAACGCTTGTGACTAGCCAATTAAGTGTAGCCCATTTCACTTAGTTTACTCAGGCTAGTGCTGTGTGTGCGTATTTGTGTGTGTGTTTGTGTGCATGTGTGTTTTTGTGTGTGGCAGCTGCTGCTCACGTCTCCCTGTCTGTGACCACACAGATGTTTGCTGTGCAGGTAGCACTCACTTGTCATGCTCATGTAACTATTGGAGGTGCACAGGCGGCTGCCTCAAAAAATGTGAGCTCTTAAGTTTTTTAAAGAGCTCATGTTAGACCCGGTCTTGACAGAGTTTAGACCTGCTTTAGTCCTGGATACGGGTTATGTTTATGAACAAGTTTAGTCTTGGTTAGCTTATTTTTAGTTTAGTTTAGTTTAGTTTAGAGTCCTCTTATAGTGGTAAAAAGTCAATTAAACGCTCTGTTTTTTCATTCTGACCCTTTGAGATCCAGGTTTATAGTTTTATATTTCTTGCTATTTCTGTTTTGCTATGAGCACATGTATAACATGAGTTGTTTCCTTTCTAATTGACCACATGTGACCCAGATTTGAAAAGGAAAACATTGGTGGACTGGAGTAATTAGCGCCATCCAGTGGAGGAAAATTATATTGTAGCCTTTGACCAGCCTGCGGTATTATATCCATAAGGTTTCTGACCCTCTAATGGAAATATTCTCATCCTTCAGGCTGCAAGTACAATAAAGGTGATGAAGTTGTGAATTATGTTGATTTTAAGAGATCAAGAAGCAAAAGCAATATTAAAGGTGCTGTTCTTCACACTTGTACATTTCTTCCACAGGATTAAAGAAATATTTCAGATTTTCATTTATACAGATACATTTCCAATTTACTAGACACATTTGTCTGCATAACATTTGTCATTGTCTAAGAACAAGATATAAATAATCTGATCTATGACTTAAAGTCTAGTTTTCAAACATTAAAAGAAGAATGTACCTATGGAACAATATCTGTAGCAAGAAGCTAGATGTGGAATCATGGGCAGTGGCAGCACATAACAAAGGATGGCATCTGGAAAAGAAGAGGAGAGGAACAGCTGGTGTGGTGGGAGTTGAGGTAGACTTGATGCAATGTTGAATAAATGTATTTTGACACTGGACAAAAAACCTGACAAAGTGTCTGTTTTTGGCTGTGGCAGTAAGCTTGTTGTGATGAGGGAAGAGTGACTGGAATTGGACAGATCCCTGAGCTCCACGCCTTTTGAAAGCGGATTGACAAATTTCCTAGGGTGCTCCTTGTGTGTATCCGTGTGTCCAAATTTACATTTTACTCCTATGTTAATGTATTTTGGGTCAATGAGAGCTAATATCACATATGTCATCAGATTAAGTTTAGAGTTAACAGGACATCAAACATATAGGATGTAGGTAGATGACAGTTTGCTTTGTAGGGAGTTTTTAGGAAACGCATCGATGTCCAGCAGCTGGCCGTGCGTGTGTGTTTACGGAGTGTGTGTGTTTCCTCTCCTCTCTCCTCACCTTCAGAGGGAAGGACACACATTCCAGCACTGCTTCCCGACTCTAGCCCTGGGCGACGCTCAGCCGTAGCTGATAAGTGACAGGGGCCCCAGCCCCCTCCTCCTGCCCTCGGGAATCTGCCCCCTGCCCCACTTCTGCCCCCCTCCTCTTCTGCCCAGACGAGGAGGTCTTTAAAGAGATAGATGGCTCTTTAATTTTTGCGCTAGGCCGGTCAGTGACACCGCTCCCACTCCCTCTTTCTTTGTCCTGCCTGTACATTTACGAGCTGGACCAAGATGTAAAAAGTGCTGTCCCAAAGAAGCCCAAATGGGACACTCATCAATCTGCAGCAGTGATTGAATGTTTAGGTTTTTTGTCTTGTGTTTTAATAAGTGTTTTCACAGGTAGCATTAATGACTCTTTCTGCTGACGGAGCTCGAGGTGCTGCAGCTGCTCTTGGCTTTGAGGCAGACGGCGATGTGTTAGGACAGGCTTATTAAGTTACCTGTTGGAAACTATTTCTATCTGAAAAAGTAAAGTAGGTTTTCCTGCATTTTTAAACCAATCCATGTCCATTTGAGTTTACGTTGGACAACCTGACCGCTCCTCTCCCTCCTTCCCTTGGTCGGTCTAATAAGAATTCCACTCAGACCTGCTCTGAGGCTGTGAGCTCAGAAACTCCCTGGCTCCGTGTGTGCGTGCCTGCACTGGTGTTTGTGTGCTTCTGTGTGTTGCGGTGCGTGCCTGAATCTGTGTCAGCCTCAATTGCTGGAGCCTATCCAAGGTTTCCGTGGTGACCACACAACACAACGAGACAATCAGAGGCAAGCCCACGCAGCGCGGCGAGAGGACATTAACACAGGAACTGCGGGTCAGGGGGCAGAGGAAGGCAGGGCTGGACACAGAGGAAGAGGAAGGTGCAGAGAGGTGTTAGACACAGAGGGTGGCAATGCGGGGGAAACAACCGTAAACAATGACCAGAGACTTCAAACTCTGTTTTTGACAATAAGATTGAATTATTCCTCTATGTTTTAAAAATAATGAAATTGTTATGCAGATATGTTACAGCTCTATAAATTCGTTCCAACTATTTTATAGGTTGTTGTCTCTATTTTGCCAGTAGAGGGAGATGTGAGCTGCTAGAGGGCTTACCTGTTGCCCTTAGTCCAGGACAACTTTGTATAAGTGCTGCTAGCTTTTTAGTGAAATTTAAATAGATTTATATAGCCACACTACAGGCATAAACAGAACACCCTATGCATACTGCCTCCTAGTGTTTATTAACTGTCATTAAAGATGATGACTGGTGAGATTTTGGCCCAAACCACACCTTTTAGAGTATTAAAGATGGCTGAATGTGTGACTACTAAGTGTTTAGTTCAGGTGTGTGTGTGTGTGTGCGTGCGCGTGTGTGCATAGATGTGAGCGTAACGTGTATGTGTATGTAGCTCTGTTGAATTCTCCAGTTTGAGGAGGCAGTATGTCTCGCACGTGTTTTCACTTTGTGTGTGTTTGCGCGTGCATCTGCAGGCGCTCTCGCATATCTTTGTCCCTCGGGAAAGACGCTAAAAATATGTGGCTCCTGAAGCCTTCTGGTGTCTGAGCAGCGTCTGTCTGCTCTGCACTGCGTCCCTGTGGCCCTCCCTCTGCTGCCTCCATTACTCCTCTTCCCTTCATCCCTCCTGCAATTACACCCCTCTCCCAAACACCCACCCACTGCACCCAGCTGTGTCCCCGCTGCACCAGGCGAGAGTGACCTCTGCATGGCCGGAGCGGGAGGAAGGGAGCCAGTGAGGAGGTGTATAAAAGAGAATTTACTCCAGTGAAGGGGCTACTATTATATGCTATACTTTATCTATCTGAAGTTGACATGATTTCTTACATACTTCCCCAGAATAATTGTAAATATCATGTGAATTTTAACTTTTTGGGTTATTATTCTTATTATTCCAAAATATACAAAATTAGATCCTTTTTTGGGTAGCTTCTAGTGAAGTGTACATAATATTATTAGTTTTTGCTCTTGATCATAATTTTCTCTAGTGTTGAGGTGCTTTCAAAAGTTTGACAGTGAAATGTCTTGCTTTTCAGATGTGACTCCCTCCCGGGTGACTGTACGGGCTGCGTCAGAGGACCCCCTCTCCTCAGGGACCGGGGCACCACTATGTGCTGGGCGGGGCAGGGTGGCACAGCTCATGAAAGCCTTCAGCACAGAGGGCTCAGCGGGACCTCCCCAAGCTCCAGGACAGACCCTCACCAGGGGTACCAAGCCTCCTCTCCCTACCAAGCCCAGCCACCTGCGTGCCACAACCACGCCCTCTGTGAGGTAATTTGCTCATGGAGTCACCTGCTGCTGTTACAGCCTCAGAGGAGACATTGCAATTGCTCTTAAACAAAAGACAAATGATCAAATGATGCTTGAATGTACTTTTTTATCTGTGGTTTGTAGTACTGCAAAAGTGGAAGAAAAGTCCAAAGTAAATCATGTTATTTTTTTGTATAACTTTATAAGTATTTTAAGGTGGATTTTTTTCTTTGTTTACTTGTTGACATTTCCCAATGTGGAAAACAATATTTAAGTCCATAAATCTCTGAGTGCTACCACTCCTGTCTAGTTTCTATCCAGACACGGCCAACTTTTCCTTGTGTCTTGTGGCTGTGAGCAGATGAATGCTGGTGGACAGTTGGGCGAGGTGAAATGAGGTACAGGGGGGCTTCTCGTGCTGCTGTCTCCTCCCTGGAATAGCGTGGGGTTGTTTATTTGTCACAATGCGATGCGTTCCCGTGCCACCTGGCAGCGGCCTCACTGCGACCTGTTGTGGACCAATGACAGTGCCAAACGTCTCCTCTGTCACTCCCAGTGGATCAAATCCTGGCGAGGTAGACAGTCTCTGCCAAAACCCGGGGATAAGATCCCCTCCACTCTTAACCTGTTACAATTTTGCTGATGCTGTAGTTGTCTTTTATATGTTTTATAGGGATACACTTGTTTTGTAATGGGATATTTAACACTACTGCAATGCCTCATCAATGATGCCTGCCTGGGTTCTGACAAGCTTGTATGGTGCAATTAAACAACAATAAAGTTATGTAATGTCAGCACTGCAGCATATGTCACTGGATTTTTTTCAGTACATCATAGTATTGGGTTTTTTAAGTCTAGCACTTTCTTGTGAGTTACATTTACAGAGACTTCTACACTGTAACCGCAGATTAGACTTAGATACTTGGATAATTAATAGTTTTCCTTGGATAATTAATAGTTTCTGACTAAGGTTTTTGTCTTTGTGTAGGACAGACCATCTCCACTTTTGCTTAAATCCCAAGTAGTTTTATTGTAATATGTGTGACCTTTGTCTCAGGCCCATCTGGGTATAAGTATTGTACAGCACACACATTAAAACATACCTATCCCAAAACAAATGTTTAATCAGTCTCACACTGAGAGTAATTCTAGCATGACACTTCATGTTTTCATTATACTTTATGATAACAGCCATTCAAGACTGTAGTTGTAAGGCTGCGATAGTAAATTAATCTGACAGAACAATAGTATAAGACGCCCAGCCCTGTTAAATGTGGAGTGCATTGGTCCAGACAATTGGTGTGGCTGTTCCTGTTGCAGGTGAACACGCACACACACATGTGGGCCACACTGATCTACTGAGGATGGACTGGTCACTGCGAGATAATGAAATAGGCTTGTTGTTTTATGGCAGTAAGTGCTGGTTTGTTTCCTCATTTCACCTTACTTTAACATTCAAACCACACAAAAAGGGGACATGAATATAAAACTCAACAGTTTCTAGGGAAAGAAAGAAGGCTCCATTTGGCTCTGTAGCGTTCCACCACACAGCGATAACCCCGTCCACTGCACCCCCAGTGGAGCGGGATAGAGACGAGAGGAGCGGAGGGGGGCGGGCCATGTGATACGCAGAGCATGCGGGCACAGCTTCACCCCCAGGCAGAACGAACGGGGGCCTGCTGTGTCTCTCCTGCATGATTAATCTGGCTGAGGGGCAGAGCACTGCCACAGTCCTGGCTGCATTAACTCCCTATTCCCCAGCTCCAGACCAGGCCCTCACGCCAGCAGCACTGGGACACACACACATATGGTTTGGTCTAAAAACCTAACAATTTGACCTTTGGCCGCCTTACTTTTTTAGAACCCTGCCTTTTTAATAGCTGGAGTTACCAATTGTATGATATGTATTAACCTAAACTAGAGCATTTAACTAGAAAGGAGCTATTTGGAAATGTGGGTATTGTATCACATTTGAAATACTATTAAAACTTTAATGTTAAATATCAATATTGTATTATAGTGATATAGGAGCTCAACAGAACCAAAGTATTATTATATTATCATGGGATGGTAAAAACGGTTTCATGCGACCTCTCCATTTTTGGCCGTGGGTTGCTGGACGGTCTTTGTCGGAAACCTTCAAAATTCTTCCTTCTTGGCATATGATTGTCAAATTTTCAAATCACAACGACAGCTCCTCAAAATTGCTTGGCAGCCTTGTCATATTGTCTCACAGTATTCTGCTCTTCACATCCTTAGGTTTAATGTTAACTTTATAGCTATCACATTGTCTTGGGCCGGGTCCCATCTACTCAGAAGTACAGTAGGACGTGTAGAGCATCAAAGAGGCAGGCAGAGGGTTAATATCCTGCAGTCCTCTCCACATTAACTGGAAAGGAATGAAGTGTCAAGCGTGTTTTCGACACTGCCAGCCCCCCTCTACCCATCTTCCTCCCAACGACTAGTCACCCCTTCTCCGCCGCAACGCTCCCAACCACCTCCCACAACCGTGACCAAATTATTTTTCAAGCCTCCTGAGGTTTGTGCCATGCCGGAAGAAAAAAAAAAGCGTAGCCATGGCCCTGATTTGGTCCATGCATCTATTGACGCTGTTCCCTCTCCACCAGGAAAACAGCTCTCCACTCTACTACCTGGGCGTGCACTGACATTTGTAGGACAGATGGACATGACACCAGCTGAATGTGTGGATGCAAATACAGGTGTCCTATTTGCAAATACAACATTGAATCTAGAATATTGTTGAGGTGTGTAATAATATGCGGATAATCAAAATTTTCAAGCTCTCGCCACATAAACATATGCTTTTCAGGGTAAATTTAAAACCTTTTGGGAAAGAAGGTTGTTAGACTAGTTATCTTTGAATTTATATCAGCCCTGCAGCTTAAGAGGCATTATTCAAGGTGTTACCTCTAGCCTTGTTGGGGTAGATTCCAACGACCTGCAACTAATTGGAGGTGACACAGAAAGATGAATGAACCATGCCCTAATAGTGAAAGTATGTTAAAGTAAATGCTATTTTCCTACAATATATGTACTGGTAGATAGTTGGATAGATAGATGGATAGATGGCTAGATAGATAGATAGATAGATAGATAAAAATATAGGTTAAAAAATTGTTACAGAGTATCTAATTAATTTCCCAAGATCCAGTGTGTTTTAAGTGAAACCACATGAATGCTAAACTTCTTGACACCAGTCCACCAACCAGAATGGAGTGCACACTTTGGCCCACCTGGAAACACCAGCGACCCAGAACCTGGCCACGGGCCTGGGGTTGGACATGTTCAAGTATAGGCAAAAATTATCTGGAGTCCCACTAGTGAGCAGGCCACACCGTCCTGCCAAACTGTTGGAAAAAAATCCCCTCTGTTTTATTTATAGTGCGCTGTATCCATGGCAACCGAAGAGGTCAGGCAAGCTGGTCCCGTTCTTCACCCCGCTCGGGGATTAGGATTTCACAGCGGTTCTCAGATGTGGAAGGTGGGCTAAAGCTGCTGGAGCCCCCTCGCCAACGCTCATCAGTCCAAAGCAGAAGCGCTGGCTGCTGGAAGAGTCTTGGGAATTCTTTGGGAACGCTGTGGCCTAGTGATGGTAGTGCAAAGAAGGGGGGAGACTTTAATTTCATTTACACAAAAAGACACACTTTAGGCATGTTTTGATTGTGTTCTGCTTCTGCCTTTTTAAGGTCACACAAGGTCACGCAAAACTTTTCTCTGGTTTCTTCTACACATGGAAAAAAACACTATAATCTCAGACATCTAGCTTTTGTCTTCCATTTGTCAAGAAAAGGGTCGCTCACTTTTTAAATTTCCTAAGCTTGTTAAATTTCCATCCCCCATTTCTCTGTAGGGGCGACTCTTTCCAGAAAGCATATTCCTAAGCCAGTTGGAATGGAGGAAGAGAGGAAGGGGAGAGAGCAGCGAGGTAAGTGCAGAGAGACGGGGGGAAAGCTGATTGCCCTCCAGGAAGCGCATGGTGTGACTGTACAACGGAGACCTCCACATTCCTCCTGGGGCAGAGGACGGGCGTTGCTAGGAGATGGTGTTGCCACGGCGGATGCTGTTGCTGCCTCCGTCGATGTGCAGAAGGACGTGGTTTCAATCTGAGGGGGATAGGGAGGCAAAGAGGGGAAAATCTGGAGCGTTTGGGGACATGTAATGAGCTCCCCAGTCTCTAGGGGGCACTCTTGGCACCTGAGTCACACAGACAATACTTCTGCCCCTAGTGCTCATCCTCAAACGGGGACCAATACAGTAGCAGGCCTGGTAGTTCAGAGGGGTAATAACTCAGCGTAGACATGGAATCATAAGTGGATATATTTATATTATTTTGAAATATTTATATGTAAAACCTATTATAATATCCACTTTGTAAAATGTATCGAAACAAAAGCAAAAGTACATTAGCATGCTCCCTGGATGTTCAGAACTTTTGTACGTGAAGCAATTAAAGATATGGGGTAAAACTACAGAACAGAAGGAAATGCTGCTGTGTTTCTCAAACTGTGGTGCAGGTTGATTTTAGTGGTACATGGGATCCCCTGCACTTATCTTTTAAAGTATTTATTTTATTTAGAGACAAATGTATTTGTCTGTAATCATTATTTAGAGCAACACATTTAGTCTAATTTTAGACCTAATTTAATTTATACTCATTTTTTAATATTTTAGGTCTGGTGGTACTCAGAAAGCGACATCTTTTCTTAGGTAGTGTTTGGTCTGAAATGTTTGAGAACCACTGAAATAATGGATTACCTAAAATCCAAATATAGCATGTCCCATATAGTAGGCCTACACCTTTCTCATATTTAAAGTGTAAAAAAAAGTACTGGTTTGTTTACAGGAATGGCACGTTTTCATAAGCATTAACTGCAACTGACAATGCCCTGTTTAGAAATCAACCAACATGGGTTTGTCATGGCCAGTGCTAATATTGATTGTTTAGAATACAGAGCAACCGAAGGCCAGTAAGTTTTGCTGATATTTTTGGCCAATATGTTGGTCTGAGACTGATTGATTTGATATTTAAACCAAATTATGTTACTCCCCCAAGCCATTTTTTACCACAAACCTTTAAGAAAGCTGTATAGTCAAGTTTTGTGCAGCCATCTTTTTGAATTCAAGTGTTAATATAAAGCTTTGCGTGTATTGGCCTATTCTGGAGATTTAAAGCCAATATCCATTACGTTAAATAGTCCAAATGTCCAACCAATACATCGTCTATCTCCAGTCCTGTTACCAGTGATTCATTGTACGTATTGTGTTAATGAGTGACTGAACCTTCATCTCAACCACATCGACTAACACATATCTGTCCGACAGTGCTGAAGTTTCGAGATGTGGACTGAGTGATTTGACGTAAGTGTTCCCACACATACCTGCATGCTTTAACCACAGAGCAGAGATAACAGTGCAGCACAGAGGGCTGATAAGGCCTCAGTGCACTCAAACACAAAGGTGCAAACCGAAGGCCCCTGCAGTGTCACTCCCTTATGGTTTCTCTGCACAGTTTTCCTCTTAACAAATTCATCTACAAAAGAAATTACTTTTATGGATCAAACTGCATGCTGAGAATCTTAAGAAATTTCTGAAATTCCACAAGCACATTTGCACTTTATAACATTCTGGTTGAAGATCCGCTACATGCTTTTCTCCGTGATGCGATAGCTTGTATGAAAAGTTACACAGTGGCATTAAACACCCAATTCCAATGTGGAGAGCAAACCCGTCCTCACAGTAAGAGTTTTCCTGTCTTAAAAACATAAAAAATAAAACTAGTTTATTTTAAAAGTTATTCCTCTTACACCTTACACATTTCAAGCAGCCTAATCACTCGCCATGATGAGTTTATAAGAGATTTTCACAACTCCCAGAGGCTTGAGCAGAGTTTTGCCATCATGGTAATACTAACAACGACTTGCATGCTACTGTGCACTTCCTGATTATTGGGCAATAACATGCTTTATAATTAAATACAAATAGTACACAGTCGACATATTTTGACCCCCAAGAGCTGCTTATACAATACATCTGTACTGGGGCAAGACAAATTTCGCTCCAATATAGGGGAAAAATCAGGGCCCTTAATTAAAAGTAATAAAATAGATAACATTATGAGAGACGGGCAGTCTGAGATGTTTTGGTGCTGAAGTGGAGATGTGGAGTGGAGGCTAATATCACACGGTGTGGGTATATTTACAAATGGCTTGAGAGGTGATTGGCTGAGAAGAAGGCTGGCTGGCTGTCCTTTGCTGACGGACAGGTGGTGGGAGGCGAAATAAAGGCTACAGCTTTGATTTTAGAAACTGCAAGTAGGGAATTTAACCTTTGACTCTGTGCATTTCCAGGATTTTAAATATGATGTTGAAATTGTTACTCTTTCAAGTCTTTAGTTTCTGACTGTTGTAGCAAGTACGTTATTCAGCCTTTGGTCAGTTCCTCTGTTTCTGCATTACACTCATTTGTCTTGCTTTTCCCAGTGCAGTTGGACCCTTATACTAGTCTCTAGGAGATCCTGGTTGGGTCTGGTACCGGTTCAGGGGCAGCCCATTGACACACAGAGCCTCATATTGTCTGTGGGGACGAGGAAGACGAGGTTTGGGCGAAGGCGGATGGTGTGGGAGGGTTCAGCACAAGCCACCAGCTGCGCTCTCTCTCTCGGCGCGTTCATTAAACAGCTCCCAGTCCTCGGGGTAATCCACATGCTTCACTGTGGAGAGGGAGGTAAACACTGACGTCTGTCCATCCACTGCTTGGCCTTTTGGCTTTTGACATCTTTGCTATGAAAAGTCAAAAACTAAACAACAATTTTAGACTTCTGCTCATGGACAGTATTCACGCCATTTGGGAACTGTATAATATTTCAGTGTGTGAGTGAACAAAATGAATTACCTAAGATGCTTAAAGGTGCATTACGCATTTTTTCTGGAGGAGGGTCCATCACTTGCTTGTCTCCATGGAGATGTTATCGCTTTGCCTGGATTGTTCCATGTTATGACATTAAACACATCTATCGAACATTTATCATTGCTGGTGTTTCTATTGCTCAAAAATAATTAAATACAATACAATAATTCTCTCTGTGAATTAGGGGCGACTCTCCACAGATCTGACATGTAACGTAGACTACAGTTGTCACTCTTGAGATAGATTTAATCTCTACCATGGAACAAATGCAGACAAAGCAATAGCATCTCCATGAAGACAAACAGGTGACAGACTCTCCACCAGAAAAGTTGCACAATGCACCTTTAAGTTAGTCTGATTCATCGGCTGGTTTCAATTTGTGGAAACCGTCTGACCTCACAGCATTAGAATTCATTTGCTCGACGGTAGGCGGGTACTTTTTTCAAATTTAACCAGTCCCTGCTATTTGGTAGTGATGTATGTAATGCACCGTTAACAGGGCTAACTGGTATATTAAGCTCTTCCCAAATCCCTTAAGAAGAAGGGCAATAACCTCTTTCCCCTTGATAAAATTCACCAAACATTCTCTTTGTTCCGGCTTTAAATTGTCAATCTTGGGAATCGTTGCCAACACAGAATTTATGGCTCTTCACTGATTGGCTGGTACCCGAACTCACACTTCCAGCGTTTTGTAAACCATCTAGTACAGGGGTGTCAAACTCATTTTGGTCCGGGGGCTGTATCCAAACTACTTTGATCCCAAAGGGGCCAGATCAGAAAACTCATGTCATATATACCCCAAAAATTATAATAAGTTCAAATATTTGTGCAGAGAAATGCAAATCTATTACAGAAATCTTTTTTAATTGATGAACTCTTTCTTATTATAATTTTATAATATTATGAACAACCTGAAACTTTAAGAAAAATTCAATTTCAACACAATGTTTTAACATCAACTTGTGATGAGGGTGTCACGGTCAACTGTCAAAACGATCGTCCTTTAAGAGCGTTTAGAAAGAGACAAGTCTTCATTTGTGCTGCTCTGGTGGGAGGGGCCACGTACAGAGACGCTGGAGACGCTGCTGTGAAACACGACAGAAAATTAACAAGATTTTAATAGAAAATATAATTCAAATATTTTAGTAGAAAATCACCCAAGGGCCACATTAAAGGTCTTGGAGGGCCGGATCTGGCCCCCGGGCCTTATGTTTGACACCTGTGATCTAGTGTATTCTGATTCCCAACCTTAGTCACTGGAGCAAAATGAAATTGAGCGGAGGCACTAGGTGGCACCAGAATGGCTACCTTTAAGTCACAGACCTGACTTATTATGCCATCAGAATTATTAGAATGAGGTATATATATATATGACCAGTAGAAGCAAGTCTGTATTCAAATAAATGCTTTTATTGTAGTCTATTATTTGCTGAAATAATTATGTTCTGCGTCAAGTGTTTTGGTTGCACAATTGTAGCCTATCTATCTATTGCTATTCATGTACTTGATTGGGGGGACAATGATCCTTGCATTTGATTGGAGATTTTCACAGCTAGGAGATTTAAAGGCCATGCAGCACAATAACCTGGTGTGAGATTTGTCCTTAGGTTGCTCAAGTATGTCTCATGAATATTAGCCGAATGTTTATAACAGGGGTATCCAATCTATGGTCCTCCTGCTGAATTGGCCCACATGGTTATATTACTTTTTATAGCAAATTTAAAGGGACCATAATTCAGCTATTTTCTGATCTATAGCATAATTGCTTCCTCATCAAAAACATGCCTGCAGTTGTGTTTTGTTTTATTCACACATCTTTAACACACAAGCCGTGCATATTTAGGTTGAGTTTTTTCTCACTCTATTCCACCTTGTGATGTCCACTGAGTTTTTAAACTCCATATGCCTTCACTAGAATCACTGAGAAGATTTCAGCCCTGGGTTTGCCACTCTCTAAAGAACTCTCTAAATCATAAAAGGCAGCTGTTAACTTGAAAACTTCAGCTTGGTGACATCACAAGATGGAACAGAGTATTTTGAGCTGTGGAGATGTAGACAGACTACTAATGCAGGATTACTCAAACACGTGTGACTGAAACAAAACACAACTTGAGATAACAATCTAAATATTCTAACATGACTTAAAGCTCACAAGAGTCATTTTTGCATAATATAGGACCTTTAAGTAATTCTAGCAATATAACCTTAATGTTCCAAGTCTTATTAAAATTATGGTGTCTCTGATGAAGCTTGGCACCCATTTAAATGACCAACCTTACAGAGTTTGTGATTCATATATATTTCTATATGCGGCCCTCACTGATAAAAGTTTGGATTCCCTGGTTTAAACCCTACATGGTTTTAAATAATTAGAAAATGTTTGATAGACTGATCTTGAATTTGATGTCGATTAAAAAGTTATTGTTGAACTAACTCCACCAAACCATCACCCCCACCTCTCCAGCTCACACCAGTTTCTGTGTTAGCTTTGCCTCCACAATGCAAATGTCCATTTTACCAAGCCCACTGTTGCCCGCTTCCTCCTGCTCTCCTCTCCCAGTCTCTCTGATGTGCCGTGGCCAGCGTGGAGCTCTCCATTTGTGCGTATTTATGTGTGTACCTGAGTGTGTCTGCCTCTCCATGTTTCCAGTCCATAAGCCCGGAGCCAAGCCGAGCACTGCCAGAGGGAGAGCCTGCAATGTAGGGCGCCCGGCGAGATGGACGCGGGCAGAATATCAACACACACACACATACACACACTCTCTGCTCTGAGCTGCCCACCTGCCGACTTACGTGATCCAAATGTGAGGACGAGAAACAGGAGGGGGGTTGGGGAGGGGGTGGGGGAGTGGCTGCAGGAAATTGCCAGGTAGTTTCCAGACCCACTTCCCCATGTTGCGCCCAATTAATCAGGGCTACATCTGTGTTGGATGGACCTCTACCCCAAGGGGAAGCAGCAGTGTTTTTGTCTTCGCACACAGGTTTTTTTTTTGTTTTTTTTTTGGAGAAGTCTGTTTTTGTGCTGTGACAGAGATGGCATGGCGGATGTTGTTGATGATGGCTGTAATTTGGTATGGACAGCTTTCCGTAGCTCACTGTCCTTCAGCGTTCCTGGTATGTTTTATTTTTCTTCCCAAACACACATGCTTCTTCCTGCCCGCACCTCATTTTTCAGCACCTGCGTAGCCCACCGCCTCTGTGTACTTCCTGGAGCTTGTGGCACACCTGGACCCCCCTCCCACCCCCCTTTTCCCCTCCCCAACCTGAACCTCTCTCTTCATTTTCCCCTTCGCCACTGTTTTGGCTGCGCCTGTCTCTGGTCCCTCTCCAGGTTTATTTATGAATAACAGATTTAGTTATGAATAATATGGCTCCAGTAAGTGTGGAGTTTCCACAGTGGGCTGAGCTGCATTTCTCTTCCGCGTTGAGAGCTGTTACTTGGGTCCTTTTTCACCTTGCATCTTCATTAACCTGCGAATGTGAAAAGAACACATAGAGAAAATGATTGATTGTTCTACTTTGAATTTGCCAATATAATTTGAAGTTAATTCAAAAATAATGAAATGCCTTGAAGGAAAGAGGTCTGTGCTCTCCAAGTACGATATGTCTGTTTTTGATGCACAGTGTAATAAATAGTCTATACGAATTGTTCAAACTTGGTATAGCCTAACCCAAACTCTGAACCCTTACCTTTAATTTAATAGTTATTAACCCTGAATAATTCTTAATAAACTATGTGTTCAAGTTTAAAGTGTTAGAATTAGGACAAATGGTGAATTCAAATTTGAAAAAATAACTTTACTGAGAGATATAGTTAAAAATGCACTTGTTTTAATGTGATTTATGTGTATGCATTAAGGTTAATGTTAAAGTACACTTTATTGTCCCAGTAGGGAAATTTGTCTTCCGCCTCCTCCACTGGGCATTATCATACATTCTGGTGATTGTAAGTACCATCAATAACTTAACATTACACTACCCTCCTGACTCAAAATGCAGACAGATCACACTTTTTATGAATGACAAACCCACTTCTCTAGAGTCTCAATATCAGACCTGGTTTGTGTATATTTGGTATAATGAGTGCAAGTGTAGCCTCTGTGTGAATATAGTGGTCTTGTGTGAAGCCTTGGCAGCGCGCGGTGCAGTGCAGAGTGGAGAGGAGAGACAGCTGCCCTGACAGATGCCGGGAGGCAGGACCCCACTGGGAGGCAGAGGGAGGGAGCTGGCACCGGCCCGGCCCAGCGGAAACACCACGGGCTGCAGAGGAAGTGGGCAGGGGGACAAAACAGGGACTGCACGAGACTGAGGGGACAGGGAGGAGGAGAGGGGCTACGTGATCTACTTTAAGAGCTTTTGTAGGTTTTAAATAAATAGCACCTCAATGTGGACATATGGGATAGATGCCATAAGGTTAGTCCTCTGTCCAGTATACCACAGCTTCTTCTTTTGGTTTCCTCAGCTTCGTCATCTCTGAGATTTTAATATTAGTGTTAGTTTTATGCCAGATGCCCTTTTTGACAACCATCATTATTTTTCAAGCACCTAGATGTGTGTCAATAAGGTGTAATTACTTTGTCAAGTTGTAGCTGCTATTTAAATCTACATAATCCATATATACATGCTTAAAATTAGTGAAAACACGGATAGTGGATGTTAATAAATCAAAACTGTTCATTCTTTTATTTTGTACTTTTTCAGAAAGGTTTCAAGTTATGTTTTCACATTTTTGGTGATACCGTATACCATTATATTTTACATCTGACTGGTCTCTATACTTACTAGTAGTATTTTGGATTGCTAATGTTATTCCTGGTTATGATAATGTTTTAACTGTGTATTTGTATATGTTGTTGTGTAGTAGTGGTGATTGTGCCTGAGGAAAAGTGGCTGCGATGCTGGAGGCCTGGTTCACGTGTTCTGTCTGGAGACTGGTGCAGCTCCGGGTCCAAACTGTAAGCGCGTTGCCATGGTGACCCATAGCCTGGGATCCAGACTAATTTTCTAAAACAGAAGATCTGATCTGATCACCACTTCCTCAATCAATCAGGTGCAATCAGGTTTGTTTATTTCAGTACACAAGGTAAACTGACAAACTCATTGGCCATCTACTATTTAGAATTATTCTCAAACTTCTCTCTCTTCATATTAACAGTGTTTAGGGTTTCACTCATTGATTTTGCAGAAATCTGTGATGTTTCTCAGTTCCAAGTGTTATTTTTTTCCGTCTTATTCCTCGCAAGCAGCCATGTTTGTTTTGTAGTGAACAGACCATGAAATTCTCCGATTGGCTAATCCGTCTGTCAATCACGCCAGTCTGCACTCACAGAGATAACACCAGTGTCCAGACTACATGTTTTTGTATAGAGAAAGCAGTTTTGACTGGTCAGGCAAAGTGGCTGAACACCAGGACCACTGAAACTGATGTACTTACATGTAGACATATGATATATTTTGAAAGTGTGTTGGTTAGAAAAACAATTGTAGTGTGCTCTTTATAGAATACTTGCATAGGTATAGTTAGATGGACAATTGGCAATGCTATAGACTCTATGACTATCAAATCTGGACTAAAATAAATAATTTTAAAAATGTATGTATGTATGTATTGTTCACTATTATTACACATTTGGAAGTATTGTTTTAAAACAACTGGTAAAATACAGCATGACATTTTTGATTTCTTCCTTCATTTGAGATTTCCCTGGAGTGTAGAGCACTTATTGTAACTTCAGTTTAGTTCTCCACAGACAGAATGACAGAGGAGTCCTGTGGGACCAGCTCCCCAGGGACCGGTCCCACAGGATGAGGGCCCAGTGACAGTGTCCAAGTGTCCGAGTGTCTGCTGCACTCACCGGGCTGTGACAGGAGCAGACAGGCGCAGGTTATGAGGAGTCTGCACTATCACAAGCATATCAACTCTCTCTGCAGGTAGACTCTTACAAGGAAACAACTGTAGTTAGTCATACTATTTACAATCTACTTATTTCAAATAAGATAAACTTTGACACACATTCCCAGTCTGGTTTTCACATATTTAAAGATAATTTTGAAAATAAATCCATAACCTGTACCCTCATCCAGACCCTAACCTTAAGCATAATTCAAAACCAGGCCCTAACCATAACCCTAAAACCCAACAAATGTAGGAACATAGATGATTGCTGGCAGTGGTATTACAGCAAAACTTTTCTCATTTGAAAGTTGTGAAAAGTGCTTTCATTCATTAGAAAAGTAAGGAATAAGTTTGGGCTGCAACAAACTGTTTGTTTGAACTAGTAATGTTTTTCATGTTTTTAAGAAAGTAAAAATCAGGTAAGCACCTTTTTAAAATGAAGGTAGTGCAGCATATTTGATGGGTAGCCTTGCTTTAGAGTTGTAAAGTGTTTGCACATGCAGTGAAACAGTGAGGAAGGACCTGAACGGCATCACACGTCATCTCCTCACAATCTGCTCTGACTCTCAGACAGCTGCCACCATTGTTTATTAGAGATAGACTGATGTATCAGATCAGGACAATATTTGCCCTTTTAGCTTATGAGCTATTAGCCTTAAACTGTGAGCAGAGGTCAACTTGAATATTTTTTGGTGTTGACAACCTGCTTAAAGGAAAAACTTAAAGGTTTAATTTGAACACATACTTGCTGAAATTGCAGCAAAAAAGTGACACGGGTCTCTCATAGTTTAGTTTTGTGGCAGTGGGGGAGTTTGTTGTAAAGTCACTTTATTGGTATTGATGATTGGCTTTTATTATTTGGGGAAAATTATACATTTTGGCTCTTGGCTTCTAAATAATCAAAACTGTAAACTCTAAATATTCAGCATTGCCAAGAAAAAAAAAAACATCAGTAGATCTTTATTGTTTATAACTGACCAAGTTTAAACAGATACGTACAGGCTCTATAAAGCTTATTAAGATATAAAATTTTAAAAAAAACCATTATGAATATTCTAAGTATGGATGAATATTTATGTACGATCCAATAGTACTTAAAGGCATTGCTGGCTCGTGGCTACTTTGTATGGAGGCCTGCGGTCAAACACGATTGGCTTAAAGGCACAAGGATGCATGTGTGCTGGTAGGTGCACAATTAGCTGCAGCTCCTAGTTTATTTTTCTCCACTTCTTACAAACTTTGATGGAAAGGAATTTGTAATATTTAGCAAAGAAATAAGCTGTTCTCAAGATGCTCTTAGATCCTGTACAGCTCACTATAGTAACATGATGAGATTAACACTAATTGACTTTTTACATAAGAACCTTGTTACTAATTGTTCAAAGCATTCCTTATTTTGCTATATGTAACAAAATACAGTAAAAAGGGTAAAAATAACTAAACATCAGACATTTTTGAATAATTTACCTTTAATTCCTTTATTTGATCATCATTTCTCATTTATAAATTGCTATAAACAACTGATGATAAAGTGAATATATAGGCTGTCATGATACTTCTTTGATTTTTATGTATTTTTATTATTGACATTCTCTCTCCCAAAAGATCTGCCTCTTCTTTGCTCTTGCCAGGTGACCACTGTCCACTGAACCCATACAGTGGATGTGTACATGTGAGGTCAGTGCTGTGACACATGAGGGAGGGAGCACCCGAGCACCTGGATAGCACCCAGCACAGAGGAGTGGTCAGGCGTGAAAGTCAACATGGCATCACGAAACAGCAGCACGCCAACGTACCACCACCAGGAATCACCGCAGACAGACACATCCTTCAGTGTAGCGTTCAGACTGGTAAGACATGGGACATAATTAGTTCTCTTGTTAACAGACCAGAGTGTGGAAAAATGACAATGTGCTAAATCAAAATAGAAAACTAGTTGCAAATCTCATTAAATTTGTTTTTCCAAATTAATTTACCAAATATAATTGTGTTGTGTTATCCTATCATTTCAACAATCACTTAGATCGGCCTATTTTTATGATTATATTATGTTATATTATATTGTGATCATTTGATTGATCAGTGGTAATATTGACCCTGTCTTGCAATTTCACCAAATCCATACAAATTACCACAAACTTCCCAGTCAGTTTAAAATGAAACTTAGAGCATTTTTAAAGGTCCCATTCTAATGTTTCCTCATCAAAAACATACCCGAAGTTGTGTTTTGTTTCATTCACATATTTAAAACACAAACCCTGCATATTTAAGCTGAGTTATTTTCTCAAACTGAAAACACTCCTCCTTGTGATGTCATGAGGTTACATGAAGTGCTGTATTTTAAACTCCACACACCTTCACTAAAACCATTTGGATAATTTCAGCCCTGGAATTACCATTCTTTACTGAGCTAAAGGTAAAAGGGAGCTGTGAACTTGTAAACTACCACTTCATGACATCACAAGGTGAAACAGTGCATTTTGAGCTTTGGAGATGCAGACAGACTCATAATAAAGAGTTACTCAAACATGTGAATGAAACAAAACACAACTCCAGGTATGTTTTTGAGAAGCTAACATTATAATATTATAACAGACTTAAAGGTCACAAGAGGCAATTTTGCGTAATATAACTTGACAATGTATACAAAATGACACAAACAAACACGAGGTAACAATAGCCAAAGGTTTGTTTAAGGATAAAGATATACATGTCTTTTGTGGCCAGTTTGCAGACGGCACATTGTCTGGCCTGTCCACACCTTCTTTTGGGGCTGCTGTGTTATCGACTCTCCCAGGTTTTTGTGGTTCTTCTGTGTAGTTAGTGGAGAGGACACACTGCAGCACAGGGCATTGGACACACACACACACACACACACACACTCCTCTCTCGCTGCCTGCAGTCCTGGGGGAGGATCTATTCCCTTCCAAAACACGCCACCGCCAGAGGGGCACACTGACCGCTCAAGCAGCACAGCGCCAGCCACCAATACTACGCTCCCGCACTCAGGCACGTCCCTGTAAAGCCAATGCGACATTCAGAAAATTGATTAGAAAGTAGTGACTGACCACCTATATCAATGATTAGTGTCAAGACAACTCTCCTAAATGTATATAGCAAATGTATCTTTGAGTTGAAGAAGTAATTGTAGCAGTGTATAGTAATAGAAGTAGTAGTAGCAGTAGTAATAAGCATAGGAGTAGTAATGGTAGTAGTCGCAGTAGTGTAGTAGTAGTAACTGTCATAGCATAAACATTTATACACAGTAATAGTTCTTACTTCTACTTCTTACTTTGGGTAAATAGAAGAAGTAATAGAAGTAGTAGTAGTAATAGGAGTCGTAACAGTAGTAGTAGTAGTAATAGTAGTAGTAGTCGTCGTAGAAGTAGTTGTTGTAGTTGTTGTAATATCATATAGCACTTGCATCCTCAGTATAGATTAATTTAAATTCTTACTTTCCTAACTTGTCTTGACATCCTTGCATATGTCTTCATGTAGTAGAACCCAAACTAGTAAACGAAGTACTACAAGAAGAAGCAGTAGTGCAGTACAATCAGGAACAGAATAACTGTAGTATTTGCAAGGTCAGAAACAGAAGTAGTAGTAGTAGTAGTAGTAGTAGACTAGACATAGTAGTAGTAGTAGTCGTCGTATAAGTAGTAATAGTAGTAGTCATAGTAGTAGTAGTTGCAGTAGTAGACATAGTAGTAATAATAGCAGACATAGTAGTAGTAGTAGTAATAGTAGTGGTACTTGTAGTAATAGCAGACATAATAGTAGTAGTTGTAGACATAGTAGTAGTAGTAGTAGTAATAACAGACATAGTACTAGTAGTAATAGCAGTAATAGTATTAGTTGTAGTTATCCCCCCTTTCCTTGATAACTAATCTGCGTTTGTTCCCTCCCCTCCATCATCCATCTTTGTCCGACTCTACACCTCCTCCTCCCTGAGCCTCACGTCATCCCGCCACATATCTCTGCAGGCCGGTCGTTGCCAGATCCTGACACCTACTCCCAGCCTTTGACATGCTCCACTTGGTGTTACGAGACTCACGTTTGTCACCTTAGCCACTTGTGTGTATGGGAAAGATGTGCCGAGAATGTACAAGAGGAGAGTTTACGCATTTAGCCTGAGTTTGTTAATAATTAATGTGTCACAGGTTTGCAAAATTGCCCAGCGTTCGTTCCATCCTCTCTCTTCCTCTCCCTCCCTCCTACCCTCTGGCCTATCCTCTCTGCCTCCTTCACTCTGTCTCCTCGGCTCCTTCCCCCCGATAGCACGGACTCTCAATCTCAATCCTACACTCTCCAAAAAGAAGCCAGGGCAAAAACTGCATTGACTAAACATTATACAAGATGTTTGGATAGCTTCTACAGGAGAATATTTCATTAAGTGATCAATTAAAGTGTTTTAGTGAGCCAAAATACAAGAATTTCTAAGTATTCAATCTAAAGGCACTGGGAGATTGCTATATTTTGAAAGGGCTATACTTGAAGATATGGACTAAAACTTCAAGTCTTCTAGCTCATCTGTAAATGCTTTTTTAAATGAATAATCATAATCAAACACCCGGAGTGCTTTACAATGCATTATCCCTTCACTCCATATTTGGTGATGTTTAAGGTCCTATGTTACACGAAATAGAATCTTGTGAGCTTTTAGCCATGTTATAATGTTGATACCTCTTCAAAAACACGCCTAGAGTTGTTTACACAAGTTTGAGTAATTCTGCATTATTAGTCTGTCTGCATCCCCAAAGCTCAAAATGCTCTGTTCCACCTTGTGATGTCATGCAGTGGTAGTTTTTAGCCTTTTACCTTCTGTTCAGTAGAGATTTGCAGGTTCCAGGACTGAAATCATCCAAATGATTCATGTGAATCTGTATGGCGTTTAAAAACACAATGAAGCATTTCTTGTATTACCACATGACATCACAAGGGGAACAGAGTGTTTTCTTTTTGAGAAAACTCAGCCTAAATATGCAGAGTTTGTGTGTTAAACATGAGTGAATGAAACTAAACATTCCAGGTATGTTTAGATGCGGAAACAACATTAAAAAATAAATCAGAAAATAGTGTGATATGGGCCCTTTAAGATACTAATGTAGCCACAGCTGCCCTATAATAGACTGATGCCGATTTGCGCCTTTGACCACCACCAATCACTCACACACAAAAATAGTAATTTGCTTATGGTTATTTATTTATCAATTATTTTTATCAATATAAGGTTATCACTTCTGCTGTGTTCAAATACATGTGTGTACTCCCTTGATAAATCATCACTATATGGTCATCGCTCGTGGGCTTCCTGGTGATTTTACTGGTGAAATAATGGCTTGGAAACAAAAGATGCTCTGGTCTCCTGAGTCTGCAGTGACCAGACGTCTAAAGCTGGAGGGTGCAGGACTGCAGCAGGTGACACGGATTTCAATAAAAGGGATTATAGATGTGGGGAGCGAGCGAGGAGAGGCAAAACAACACACACAATTGCAGCTAAAATATACACAATTAAGAATATGTCAAAAATGTAATATTAGTTTGGTGGCTCTTTTTTTGCTACATGTTGTGACTGGTAGAAAGTTGCTGAAAGTTGCAACTGCAGCAGTAGTTTAATATGCTTCTAAAATATTAACTAAAAAAGTAGGTTGAAGCTTTTATGGCATTTTGAGTACCTTTTATCTCTTCTTTGGAGAATAGAATAGCTAAATCGATATGGCATACTACTCTATTGTGTTTGAGTAAATAGTGAGAAATGTAGTCTTTCGCTGTCAGCCAATCACAGTCTACTACTTTTGCCTTTCCATCAAAACAAACTACTACTCTACTACAACTACTCCCAGTCCCCTCCTACACATACACTGATAGTCTACCTGCTGAGGACTAAAAGGCTTCTGTTGTGTTCTTCATACTGTCATCTATATCAAAAGACCCATATTACACTGTGTTCTGATCTATGTTATAATATTGTTTCCTCAGTAAAAATATACCTGCCCCATTTTGAACTCTGGAGATATAGACAGACTAATAATAAAGAATTACTCAAACATGTGTGAATGAAACAACACACAACACCGGGTATGTTTTTGATGAGGTAAGAACATGGCTTAAAGCTCACAAGAGTCAATATAGGACTTTTAACATACACACACACACACACACACCTGTTTAAATGATCTGCCATGTTAATGAATACATATCATTGTAGTTGATTATGTAGCTGTGTTTTCCTCTCAGTTTTTTTGGCGAGCGTGCGGTTTACATTTCACTCACACGTCGCATTCACACCTCACTTTCCTCTCCACACTATCACCAAAAATCGGCAGATCCGCAGCAAAAGTGTGAAATTTGGTTTCTCTGTAGAAATATCATAATTTTACACAATCACGCTGTGAATGAGCCAACAGGTGATTATATCCACAAATGCATTCAAGTCTCAGAGAGCTTTGTGTCCTTGCTTTTATCAATGTTGGATTACTTATTTTATTTGTCCAAAATTACATTGTAAACTACTTGCCATAACTTCTGTATGGTCAAAACTCTGGCACTCATAAATATTCAAATGAAATATATGATTGGTACTTCCACTATTGCTCCTATACAACACGTAGAACTACTATTACAGTGTTCCTGAAATGTAGTTAATATTTCAGTCAAAATGGTTATAGCAAATGTAGTAGTAGTAGTAGTAGTAGTAGTAGTAGTAGTAGTAGTAGTAGTAGTAGTAGTAGTAGTAGTAGTAGTAGTAGTAGTAGTAGTAGTAGTAGTAGTAGTAGTAGTAGTAGTAGCAGTAGTACTAGTAGTAGTAGTAGTAGCAGTAGTACTAGTAGTAGTAGTAGCAGCAGCAGTACTAGTAGTAGTAGTAGCAGCAGCAGTACTAGTAGTAGTAGAAGCAGCAGCAGTACTAGTAGTAGTAGTAATAGTAGCAGTAGAGCAGGAGCAGTTCTAGTAGTAGTAGTAGTAGTAGTAGTAGTAGTAGTAGTAGCAGTAGCAGTAGCTGCAGTACTAGTACTAGCAGCAGTACTAGTAGTAGCAGTATCAGCAGTACTACTACTAGTAGTAGTAGTAGTAATAGTAGTAGTAGCAGCAGTACTAGTAGTAGAATTAGCAGAAGTAGTAGAATTAGCAGCAGTAGTAGTACTAGTTGTTGTAATATCATCTAGTACTTGCACCCTCAATATAGTTTTAATTCTTACTTCCCTAACTTGTCATGACATTCTTGCATATATCTTCACAAGGTAGAAGCCAAATTAGTAAAATTTGTCAAAATTTGTAGTATTAGTATACCAGTAGTAGTCAAATTAGTAAAATTAGTAGCAGCAAATCAATTCCATTGTGTATTGTCTTTTTAGAAGTTGTATTCTAAATTATGTTTTTTGTTTTTTTTTTTTTTTTTTTTTTAAATAGATGATGTTTTGGTCCCTCCATATGGCCCTTCCCTACCTATCCTGTTGTTGCAATAGTCCAGGAGACCTCTGTAGTGAGTGGGTGTCAGGTGGCAGGCTCTGGGCTCCTGTAGGTGGACAGTGGACCACAGGACAACCGGTTCGGGACAGCTGTGACATAATGAGGCCAGTAAACAAGCATGTGTCTCCCCCATGGACACCTCCTCACAGCGGGATGCTCCTCCTGTGTGCTTCTCACTGTCAGGGCACTCAGGGCCAAATGGTCAGAAGAAAGAGGCTCACGTCATATTACGGGCCAAACAATGGACATGGGATTAGGCCTGCCACTCACACCAGGGCCACCACGGTCAAACTTACTATCACATATTTCATTACATACAAAAACAGGATCCAGAATTATTCAAGATTAAATATATGTGAAAAGATCTCTATAACTTATCAGGCGCACCCACTGATAACCTCAGTTATCATTCAAGAATATAAAATCATCGATATCAGCAGGCTTAAACAAATGGCTTTTAAAATGGACTGACCATAACACAAATATTAAGAATAAAGATAAAGATTATGAAAAAGAGAAGAATCTGAGTGTCAATTCATTGAAGGATTAAACCTTGTAAAGTAAATATACAAGGAAAATGTGATCTTCCCAGAACTTCTAGAAGCAAGAAGAGGAGACAAGCAGGCTGAGGGGGCTGATGGTTCTGCTGCTGGAGAATATCGTAGATACATTCTCAGATGTTTATTTTACTTAAGAGGCATTTGTTCTACACCTAGTAGTTGGTAGTTAACAGTTGCTTTCCCCCTAATTCTAACAATGTTCCTCATAAGCAGGTATCATTGCTTAGTAAAAATTAAAAATCTTTAAAATAAATGGCAGCAATCTTAGTGCGTAAGTGTTAGAAAAGCTATAGCAGGAGGATGTCTGGAGCAGATTTATGTCTTGCTAAGACAATATAAAGGAGTATGCCGGTGTTGGCGAATGTGGAGGAGAACTGTGGACCCCTCTCCCAGGGCATGAGTCACTGTTGGCAGCCCGTGCTCTCCAGTCTGATTGCCTTGTTGAGCTGCCTTTTGGCTTGGAAGAGCGCGCGCTATATCCTTCATGATAGTCAGGGTGCTTTTTTCTGGCTTGCTCAGTTCAAAGCCATTTCCATGAAACTTATTGTTGAAAATTAAGATAAATAAAAACTACTTGGAACTTAAGGAAATATTTACGTCAAAAAATACAGAACAAAAAACAGAGCACATTTTGGACTATTCAGAATCAATAGGTGTGCAAAATCTACTGTCCACAAATAATGAAAGATTATCAGTGAATGTAAATATGAATAAAATATCATACGACTGTAAGTAGAGCATATATCAAACATTCTGAAAAGGCACAAATGAAACGTGGAGTGATATGGCCTAATTGGTTTGGCAGTAATAATGGAGGACCCTTTAGTTTTACCGTCCAATGGCAGCGATAAATGATTGCTTCCATCTGGACTGTATGTAATCTAACATTGCTACATACAAGTAGCGCTCTTCAGACCTCTATGGTTGTTTTACCTTGCTACCCTTTGATTAAATTTGAGTCATGAATAAGAGCTAGATGTTAATCACTTAGCCATTGTTGAGAACACACACCTAAACCACTTGGAAGTCTTTACTCCTGTAAATGAATGAAAACATTTTTGAAATCACATAGTTCAAGGTCTTTTTCATTTGTCGACAAACCAGAACTTTAATAAGGTTTCCATTCACTTTCTTACTATAACTTTAAAGCCAAATGAACAGAAAAATCCAAGCTTGCTGTTACTTTTGAGATAATTTATTATCACTCTGTACATCAGGAAAGACCACATTATTTCTATCAGGTTTATTTTTTAGACCTGGAAATAATGATTGTCCCTTCAGAATATTCTTGTTGCCACTGCTACAAACAAACACCATCCAAAACCCCATTGCAGTAGTCACAGGTGGTTACAATTTTACATCTTAGCCAGAATAAAGTATGTCATTCTCAAAACAGCACATTTTAAAAGGATTTCACATCTACACTAAACAATGTGCAGTTCCAACTGACCATGAGCGGAAAATAAAAGCAGACACTAAAAGCAACATCAGAGACTGAACTGAGGCAAAAGTCAGGCGGGACTAGGACAGGACTGTGGGGAATCCCTTCACAGAATAATAGATAGGTTTTGATAACACATTGGCTAAAAGTTGTGGATTTACCAGTTCAGTAAGATAAAGATAAAATGTTTGATTTACTGTTCTTTATTACAACTTTACTTTCAACTTTACAGTTGAAATCATTATTTATGTACAATAATCTTTTAGGCTGTTAAGCTGCAGCTCAGTAGTGGGCAAAGTAAAATAGTGGCTATTTCTAACTATATCTCTAGTTAGAATTTCCAGTTACTATTTTGGTGTCATGATTGATGTTAGCTTGGGATGTACCTGTAAACATACTGGACTTTTTGAAGCAAAGTGAATGTGTGCCGATTAGCATAGTTTTCAACTTTATCTCTTTTAGAGTGCACCAAGAAGTTCAAGCAGTTCACAAACTTCATTATTATTGCAGGGAGATAGTATTTATTTTGGCACACAGCTAATCAACTCTCCCATCATCAAGGACCTGTGCCTGACTGTTAAACCTAAACTACTTTAGATACATGACTTATTTAAGTATTTTTGCATCTCTCATGTAATGTACTCACATAGATTTTTATAGAACGTTCACTTTACTGAAGTCTTTTAGAACAGTATGGGATAAAATACCCCCTCCCCTGTCCAGTGACTGTAGGAGTGAAGGCATAATACAGATGATATACTTAGGTTTACAGAGCGTCTCAGTGCAAGGCCTGTTTTGAGTCTGGGTCATGTTGCAGGGCAGTTAGTGCAAAGTAATAAGGAGCTAAAAGGTGGAGCGGAGCTGGTGCTGATGGGGGTGGTGGGGGGTGGTGGGGCGTGAGGCGACGTCAAAGCTATGATTAGCGCCGAGCACGCTCCGCTCGTATTGATTGGCACAGAGGAGACAGTGGGCTGCCTTCCACCACTCTGTAATGAGAAGGCCTGACCTCTGCTCGTCTGCAAGGTCAGCGGGCCTACTGTAATTGCACTTCCTCTAATGGCGTCAGTCACGGACGCACCACAGCCTCAGTAATGACAATTACCATAATGTCACCGGACTCCACAGGGGCTTGTAATCACCGCCACCTCTCAGGACATGTTAGTCAACTGCTCGTACACAGCACAAAGTCTGTTTGATTGTCACAATTCTGTAATTCTGTTCACTGTTTGAACAGACTTTTTGAATTCATTGATCAGTTTATTTATTTCCCTGTAGTCTGTCGATACTCGAGATTCTGATGTTTCACATGCATGTAGGGCCCTTCAGATGGAAGATTTTTATCTTGTTCAACCGACTCAATATTTTTAGCAGAAACAATAGCTTACCTTAGTTCTCCCGAGTATTAATATTCACTTGATACAAACTATCTTGCAATTGATCTCATTTGTTGTGAACTCTCTTTTGACTTTGACCGATCACACGCCCCTGATGTTAAATCTCAGTTGTGTTGTTTGTAGAATTTCTCAGATTTAAGCAAAAGTTTATTTGCACTTTCCTCTCAAAAAGTCACAATTACCATTTATCTGACACACCATGACAGTGGCTAGAACTTGGGTGATCTCTAGAATACTTACTGTTGTTTCACAAAAGGTATGGCCTTAAGAGCTTGTGAAGCTTATGGGAATATTTATACTTAACCAAAATTCTGGTCATAGCTGGCCCTTTTTAACAAGCCAGTGTGCTCCTTGTGGTGGCAAAAATCTTTTGCTCCACCAATATGCAAACCGCTGCACAGTAAGAGGGAAATGACTGCTGTGACGACCCCAGTAGGGAGAAGCTGAAACAAAAAGAAAGTTTGATTAGTTATCACCACTTCAAGTATTTCTTTTGTTAGGTTTTTCTTTTGTTTCTCAAAAGGTCAGCACCATCATGATTGGCTAAAAAGGTGCACTTCATTCACCAAAATCTCCAAATATCACTTTGAAAGTTTCATCCGGCTATATTAGTATATTTTGTCAAAATAGAAAAAAAAGTTTCTATCTTGACTCCCTCAAATCTCAGTCATGGTGCCCTGATCATTAAGTTGCTCATTTGAAACTGCAGTATTTCTCGTCTCCCTGTGCGTATTTACATGTTTTTTCTACGCTGTTCTATGTTGCGTGCTATTATGAAGCTTGGACTAAGATGATCATTAGGAGGCATGATTTTTGTTATTATACAACTTTGTTTGTTTGTGTATTCCCGCATGAAACTAGTTAAAATTACTGGTATCTTCTAAAACAATGCCAAACGGCACAGTAGGTGTTTTGAACAGCCCCATGTGTTTGGAAAATATTCACATTTCAGGCTGGAAAATCAATGTTTCTTTTTCTTAATTAACAACAGTCTTACCTGTTTACCTCACCTCTTATTTATAACAAGCAATGGCACAAATGGCCCAATATCCTTATAATGCCAGTGTGCTGTGATGTTTTCACAGTACTATCTCATACCTTTTCATTTAAAAAGGCATAATATGCTATTTATTTATGGTATTTTGTAATAAGCTAAATCACATGTGTAGATTATGATCTAACATTTTGTTCATTGTACAGTGCAATACTGATCTAAAAGAACTTAAAAGTAAAATAGGGGTAGTGACTTCCTGTTCAAAACTGCAGAACAAATTCTCTACTACTGGCCCCACCTCTTAGTGGTATTTCACTGTAGCAAGAAGCAGATTTAGCTTTATAGTGTTTCTATTTTTCAGAAATGGCTGTAAAACATTTTGGAACATTTGAATATGATTTGAGGGCTGAATTTTTCCAAATAATCACAAGTAAGTACAGAAATATAGGCGGGGATGGGGGTAGGTGAAAACAGAAATTCTCTGATTACGCAAACCTCCAATGCATGATACAGAACACAGGATAACTCAAATATGAGTCAATTGAAAAACAACTCTAAGTTAACTTATAAGAAAAAACATGCTCAAGAGCTCAACAAAGTCAAATTCATGCAACATGTCTCCTTCGAGGATAGATTAAGACTTGCCTAAAGTTGACTTGAGGAGTTAGTGGCGCTGGGCTCTGTGTGAATGCGGACCTCAGATGAGTGTGAACCGCTGAACACAGACTTATTGTCCACTACAATGTAACTCGACTGGCTGCAGGTCACCTGATGCACGCATGACTGCATGTCCTCTCTGAACTTCTATTATGTCATACGCTATAGTGGTGAACCTAATCTCATGCACATTGTATTTGGGTAAAGCTGTGAGAGAAGTTACCTTTTTTTTTTTTTTTTTTTTACTTTTTGCAGATTTACTGATTAACAGTGTTTTCTGTATGAGAACAGTAAAGCTGATCTGCATGGCTAACTGACAACTGTAAGTGTACAAAGTGGTCAGTTCAATCAAAATAAAATTGTTCTCAGCCCAAACCTAGGAAAATTGAAAATATTGCTGCATTAAGAGCTATGAGTATCAAACCCTACGCAAAATGTTGTTGGA